ATGACTGAGGCATTGGCGGCTGATTGGCCCCAACAGGGTCAATGGGATTGCAGACTCTGGACGACAAATGTTGCTCTGGCAACGCTATTATTGGCCTGGAGACTGCTGCCATTTGAACTCGACCACAGCAACAACTCGATGCTGAAGACCCAGAAGAGGAGTGACATTGCGAGCATGCAAAGCTGAAGTGGGCGAATAGCGTCCACTTTTATGGCTTCTTTCAATCGAGACTGCCCCTGCCAACTAACAAGATATCGCCAATTTCCAGCAGAGGCAGTTTGATCTTTTTGGTATCTACACCAAATGGAAGAGGTTGGGTAGCCATGTCTGTTGAGCGTTGGTTCGCGGCATTTCCAGACGGCCTTCTCGAAGGTTTACGGCATGCCTGATGTAACCAACACATTTCGGGGATCTGTGTCTACAGCCATGAAAACCAAGGGCCTAATCGCGACTTTACAACGTCGTCGTCTGTTCAGCTTTATGTGAAAAAAGTTGACCCTTTTTGTCCTCGTGTTTTTTTGTGAATTTTCATAAAACATGCTGTCCTTGTGCCACGATGCCCGTGAGAGGATGGACCTAACGTCAGCAAGAAGGTTCCACGAGAAGTCCCTGTCGCTGCGACTAAGTTGCGAAAATGGGGTTGAACCAAGCCTGTACAACGAAAGGAGACTGCGACCACACACAAAACTCCACACCATCTTGGTTTTCATAGCCACGCTTTGGGATTATACTTGTCGAGATCAGTTGCATATCAAATGAAATGGTTTGGTGGAGAGAGTTGTTTCGCAATTGTTGAGTCGACTTCCATTTCGAGTGAAAGTGGGGCCGGTGAAGAGATTCTACAATCGTTTTCTCGAGAGATCAACCTACAAATCTCTTCTTCATGCACTTTCATACAAACAATTTTTCAATGGTCTTGACTCTATAAAAGGCCATCTCATCCTATTTGGAGGCAGTTTTGGCTTCGACCGAGTCTCAGCCGAACCCCTGCCGGGATTCGAATGTGAAGAATGGGCATTTGAGTCGACTGGCTATGAGACTACTTGTATTCGTGTTGAGTAGATTGCCAATCTACCAGCATATCATTAATAAGACATGACTCTCCCTTTGGTCATTTAAGACGGTGAAGAATTTCGGGCCCGGGTTGTATTCACACTTTGTATTTTGCAATTTCCCATGAGGCAAAATTGCGTTTTGCCATTACAATCGACTGTACTACTCATATTCATTTAAGGCGACTTTCGAAAATGTCAGCAAATTTGGAATAATTACTTTCCTAGTCTTTACGGCAAATAAAGACTGAGCAAGAAGCCACGTCCATGATCTCAATGGGGAGCTCGCTCAAGGAAGCGTCACCAACTGCAAAACGTCTGTCTGTATGTATGCATCTTCTCACATTTCTGTTTATCGTATGTTTGTATCCACGTGTGTGCATGTGGGCATGTGTGCATGTACACACTCTTGGGT